GTACTGAAAATACTACATGTAACTATAGTACCTATAGTAATTCATAGTTATGTTCGTTTTTTCCCCATATTTTTAGTCGATCAATTGTATACACACACGAATACTGACTTATACAAAATAAATTCATAAAACCCCAACAAAAATTTACAAATTTAAATATTTTTATTATAAATCACATCAGAACCAATAAAATACAAATCGAAAATACATAAATATACGCATATGTAACTACATGTTACTATAGTAATGTATACAGTCTGTTGAACAGATCTGATGTAACTTAAAAAAACTAAAACTTGACACCTTCCAGGAAAGGATTAATGGCATTCATTAAGCTGCAATTGCAAAATCAAAACAAAAGGAAATTACTTTAGTGCAAATCAACAAGTTTGAAGAAAAACATCAAAACACTCAAAAATCACCAAACATTAAGAGATCGAGAGAGAGAGAGTAACCACCAATGGTTCCGCGCGGCCACAAATGCAAAAAATATAGAAATAAATCTGAAAACATAAAAATAAACGAAATTACCATCAAAATATAGATCCCGACGAGAGGAATCCAACGGTAGGTGACCCGTCAAATTTCGACGGGTGGAACACAAAATAAAACTCCGGCAAGACCACCGTTCTCGAATGAAAAAAAATTGCAGAAACAGATCAGCGTTCGAAATTGAATGAAATCACCACCAAAAGAAAGAGCTCGACGAGAGGAATCCAACGGTAGTTAAACCATCGAATTCCGACCACCGGAGAGAGAGTTATGGCTCCGGGAAGCAAATTCGCCGGTGGGAGGTTTGTGGAGGCGGGATTTTGAATTTGGGAGAGAAGAAGAGAGAGACCGTGAGTGGCTAGGGTTTAAAACTGATTTTAGAAGGGTATTATAGGAACTTCAAGGTAGCCCAGGGGGGTATGTCAAAATATTTTCGAAATGAGGGGGGTTTCCACTAGAGTGTAATCCACTTGGTAGTTAGTTATATATAATTTGGAAATGAGGGGGGTCTACAAAATAATCCCATATATATATATATATATATATATATATATATATATATATATATATATATATATATATATATATAATAATAATAATAATAATAATAATAATAATAATAATAATAATAATAAAAAACAGAATATCGCACCGAATTACCGGTTCGGTAATTGGCATGTACCGAATTTTCGTTCGATTCAATTCGGTCGGTTTGTAAACCGGATAAACACCGCTAGGTAAATTTGACACTGTAAAAATGGACAAGTTGGACAATACATAATTGAGGGAATGACTGTAATTATACAAACAAGAGAGGTGTTTTCAAAATTTGACGTTACCTCAAGGGTAGCCGTAATTTGCCCATATTTATATTATTTGTAAATTATTATTGTTGAAAAATATATTATTTATCCAAATAAAAAAATTATATATTACTATTGATAGTTTCATAACTCAATTTTGAAGTGAAAACATAAGAGAAAAATAATTCAAATATAAAACATATATTGATGTTGAAAAATTGATAAACATGATATGGATATCCTTATGAGAACCAATAAATTCGGTTTTTACGAGATTAACATGATATCGATTTTCAGTTGGTTCGGTTTCTTTCTGTTTCTTGTATGTCTATTCATCTGCTTTCATCCACAATCTCATCCACAATCTGAACAAGAAACCGATGCTTAACCACAGTTAAGAGTTAAGACAACACTTGGGAATAAGACATGAGAAGCGTGTCGAAAAACGAGCATCTAACTCGAATGTGTTTTCTTTTCGATGCTAGACTTGCTTAGAACTACAACACCAATTACGATTAGTGCAGCACCTGCAAACCACTGTAACAAATACTTCAAATAGTAATCTAGTATGAATATATTTTTGCGAGACACAATTCGAACGGATCAAATACTGAATTTTCAAGATGTTATAACTACAGAAGAAAATCTAAGTAATCACCAGTAGCCAGATGCTAATCTAATAACATCGCATTCATTTATTTAATAATTTATTTCTTTTATCGGAAGCTTGTACATAAATATATTTTCTAACAAAGAAAGAAATTAAGAAAAATATTAATGAGATTTTATTAGGGAAGCTCCCTATGAATATGCTTAAAAAAATCTTGTAGCTTAAACTTAGTTTATGACTTTCGATCGCCTTTTACCCTTGCACGTTTTAGTTTCCACCGCACTTTTGAGAAAGCGTTTAGCATAAATAACAGACAACTCGTTCAGAAAATCAAATACAAATTTTCAACACAAAAAAAAAAAAAAAAATCAACGGGTTTTTCTTGGATATACATGTCAGATAATATCATCATAATAAAATCAGTGATTGCAAGAACTTTAAGTGAGAGACGAGATGAGTCTCATGGAGAGAGATATATATATCAGATAATATCATCAAAAACCTATAGTAGAATAAAGTCGATAGTTATATACTTATATTATTTGTGTTTGCGATTATTGCTTCCAATTTTTCAGCTTTAGTTTCTAAAACCTCATAACAAAGTTAGACCCAAGTCGTTGCTTTTACAAGATTACGAGTCCCGTTACCATAGGAACAAGCAACGCTATGAATTAGTGTGTTCGAGAACCGGCATTTGTTACATGACACAATCGAAACATTCAATATGACAGCACTTTGCAAAAGGTTGTAAAGAACAATGGAAAAAAGATTACCTTGACAGGTAGTGCCTCCTCAAAGAGAAACAATCCAGACAAGCCAGACGAGAGAAAATTTGTGGCAAAGTTGGTCACTGTAGCTTGTAGCGACGAGAGAGATTTCATGCTATTCACATAGCATCCCCACATTACTACATTGAAAAACACAACTAGCCCGTATTTTAGCTGTCAATGTGGAGACAATGTGTCAACATAGGTTGTATGTATTTTAGCTGCCAATATGGAGATACATTGTCAATTATAATAAACCTACCAATCTAGTGATATATCAACAAACAACAATCAATAGACAAATCAACAATGTATGTGTAATGTGCATGAAATCGTCAACTCGACGAGATAATTTATAAATCTTGGTGAAATTTTCACTGGTAACGAGTTTTCAGCGAAAACTGAAGAAAACAACGGCTATAAAACTGATCATGTTAAACGCAATAAAAACTAGCATGATTAGTTTCTTATATATTTCATCGAGATAGAAATTCAGAATCATTACATATACAAGTTAACTAACTAACCAACGCAGCAAGAGGTTTTTTACATGATATTTTTCAGATAGTAGATCCAAAATCAACCTTTAAACACAATCTTACAGCAAAACAAAGCAAAATGCACTCTGAGTAAATACAGAAAGTGGGCCAAAAAAAAAAAATTAGGTTTCCGAATAGAAGTGGGCAGTGATTCAGGCCACGGAAAAAATAAATAATTGGGGAAAATTATAAACTTCATAACCATGATTTGATTAGTGGAATAAAACCTAAAATAAAATAACCTGGGAAGAAAAGAATTTGGCAGAAATGGCTGCGAGAGCGGCGTTGAGTCCTGCTGAAACTGCCCACGCATACCCTTTCTTCTTTTCGCTCTCCATCCCCAATTTTCCACCCACACAAAGTCTCACTCAGTAATTTTGTAATAGCATTTCTCGGAAAGAAAAAAAAAAAGAAGAGTAATTGTAATAAGGGTAAATTACAACTACCCCTCTGAAATATGGTCAAATTATTAGGAAAAAAAACCCACATGTTTAGATAATTATAACTGCCCTCAATTATGAATTTTCTTACTAATGTCCACCTTTACGGTGTCAAATTCAACATAATCTTCTAGATTTCGTGAAATGTTCTCTAGTTTGTATTCGTTTAGTGCAAAAATCCAGTTTATAATGCACCACAATCTGATATATACAAGCCAAAAAACACATCTTATGATCATCTTTCCTTCAAAATGTGGAGTGTAAGAAGATTTATAGTTGAAGGGTGGTTGTAATTACCCAAATAAGAGGGGGATTTCGTCATTTGACCATACCTCAGAGGATTGGTTGTAATAATAATAATAATAATAATAATAATACAACGCACCATTGGAGTTTCTTAGTTCTTGGTTTTAACCAAGGTTGTAAAAAGCGGTAATCGGGTCGGAGGCGGTCTGGGACCGACTCACGATTAATCGGTGCGGCGGTGATTAATCGGTGATAAATCGGAAATAAATCGGTTTTTAAAATTTAATATAATATATTTCTACATATTATTTACAAATACTCGAAACATAGATAAAAAATATTTAAACATAGTTATACCTCCATCATGTATATATTCTAATAATATAATAAAAGTTTAATAATAATAAGATCATAATACATAAATATCCTTATAAAATATAAATAAAAATGCATTTTTTTTGAATTTACGTACATTCTTGGCATACATCATTAGTTCTTTAACAATAATAATTAATATAAATAAAATAAAGTATAAACACATTTTTTTTTTTTTATTAAGATCCCAACTTTTATTTTGATTTATAAAAAAAAAAAAAAAAAATCGATTTTTAACCGATTTTTGCCACCGAAGTTTGACCCGCCTTAAAGGTTTGACCGCCTCACAGGCAAAAAAACGATTTTTCAAACATTTACACTAAAATCGTAAAGATTTTGGACCGCCTCGGACGATTTTTAGAACACTGGTTTTAACATAGTTTAAATTGGGCCTTGATGGGTTAGTGGACGGGCTTTGTGCCTAGTAGAGAAATGGGCTCATCGTTTTTCTTTTTCTCTTTTTAACAACTATAAATTTATAGTAACATTGTTTATTTTAAGAAAATGCTCTTTACGGTTTAAAAAGTGCTATTTATCGTTCAAAACAAAAAAGTGTTTATCTCTCTAAAACCCCTAAAATTTTCGAAAAAAATGGACGAACGCCCAAGTCGGACGCCCGCCGCCTGAACAGACGCCCAAAGTGGGCGTCCGTTCAGGCGACCGGCGCCCGACTTGGGCGTGTAAACAGTTTTGGACGCCCGGTTTGGGCTTTTCCCGGGCGAACCGGCGCCCGGTCCGAGCGTTCGATTAATTTTTTTTTTTTTCTGAATTAAAATAAGTTAGTAAATTTAATATAATTTATGTTTACAGGATGTCTAATTGGGCGAAAAAATTCGGACTGGAAAAGGGAAAGGACCCCTAATAAAATATGTTGTTCAAAACCTTATTATTATTATTATTATTATTATTATTATTATTATTATTATTATTATTATTATTATTATTATTATTATTATTATAATAATAATAATAATAATAATAACATACTAACATTCATTATAACATCATAACATAATAATAATAACATACAATGTCAATAGTAATACATTCATTCCAATAAAAAAAAACTAAACTAAATCAAACACTATTTAGAATATCCCACGCTTCACGTCGACTCCGCAACGCCTTTGGTAGACTACTCTGACCTCCCATATATTGGAAAATGATTATGCTTCCCGTATACTACTCTGACCTCCCATCTATCGTCCGACCGTAGCTCTCCGACAATTTGAAAACCACAGTTTCTTTTTTTGCTACCGGTCATTCTTGGGCGCGCGTTTGGGTTAGTTGATGGACATTCTCGTTTCTCCCCTTATAGGTCACAAGTTAGAAAAATCTTTTTTTTAGAACAACTTTTTTTTAGCATTTTCACAAAAAGACCTCTTGCAACGAACCTCGCCCAAACCACTACCTCATCCTTCGAGTCAAACAACTGAGTTGTTGTAAAATAATCGGTATGATCAACTTCAATTGAAGACGTATCGTCCTGAAAAAAACGTAAAAAAATTGATTT